CCCCGCACCACAGTCCCCACCACCACCGTCCCCACCACTGTCCCACTGTCCCCACTGTTCCCACGTCCCCACCACTGGCCCTACTGTACCTCTGTCCCATTGTCCCACCGCCGTCCTCGCCACCGCCTTCACCACTGTCCCCACCACCACTGTACCCTCCACTGTCCTACTGTTTCCACCACATCCCACTGTCCCCACACCACTGTCCCCACCACCACCGTCCCCACCACTGTCCCACTGTCCCCACTGTTCCCACCATTGTCCCCGCTGTCCCCACCAGTGCTCCCACCAGTGTCTCACTGTCCCCACTCTCCCCACCATTGTCCCACCACGGTCCCACTCTCCCCACTTTCCCCACGGTCCCCACCACTGTCCCGCTGTCCCCACTGTACCCACCACTGTCCCACTGTCCCCGCCGCTGTCCCACTGTGCTGTCCCACCGTCCCCACTGTCCCCATCACTGTCCCACTGTCCCCACTGTCCCCAGCACTTTCCCCACTGTGCTACTGTCCCACCACTGTCCGCACCACCGCACCCCCTTCACCGCTGTTACCCACCACACTGTACCCAACACATGATCCACGTCCCCACCCACTGTGCGCGTCCACTCACAAACTCGTCCCCCAACCACTGTCCGCCCACACTGTACCACTGTCCCACGCGCCATTGTCCCCCACCCCACCGTTAACACCCACAGTTCACCAACATCTCCCACCATTCTACAAACTGTCCCGAGGAGCGGGCGTCGTTTGCCGGCGACGAGGGGGGGGGGAGGGAGGGCGGGGTTCGAACCGGAAGTGACCCCCCCGGTTTTCGAGGCAGGGGGGGGGGGGTACGAACCGGTAGTGACCCCCCCCCCGCCCCCTGGCCTCGTGGCCTCCCTGATTCTCTGCGGCTGCACCGAAGGGGCCGCATTAGGCCTTCCATGCGCCGCGGCGCTCTGGTGGCCTCCCTGGACCACGTCGCTCCCCCTATCGACGCGGTCCTCTCCACTGCTCCGCCCGCCTTCCCTGGCGCCCCCAGCTCCGCGCCGCGCCCCGGTGTGGCTCCGATTCTGGGTCGCAATTCTCCGTCATTCGCTGGGCTACGGCGTCGCTTGTCGAGGCGCCCTTGTGCCTGCCCGCCCTCCGCCCCTCGCCTCTTGTCGCGCCTCGTAGGCCCCCATGGCCTCGGCGCTCTTGCCCCTTGGTCTGCCGCGCCTCGAGGCCCCCAGGTCTCGGCGCTTTGGCTCTTCCCCCGGACCGCGTTCGCGGGGTCGAGTCTCTGATTCGCTCGCGCTGCTCCCCCACCAGCCGCCCTGTCTGTCGGGCTGCGTTCCCCCCCAGCTTCAGCTCAGCGCAGCTCAATGCAGCTCAGTGCCAGCGCTGGTTCCCCCCTTCGGCGCTCCCCCTGCCGCAGTCGGTGACTCTGAGTGGGCCCAGCCTCCTCTCCTCCTGTCGCGCCGGGGCTCCTCCTGGCCCTTCGTGCATGGCGGCCTTACTATGCATGCAGCGTGTCCCGCGTTGCCCATCAGCCAAAGCAGTCACCCTCTGTCCAGCCGCCGACACAAAAAGTGAATGCTGTGTGTTGTGTGTTGTGTGCTGTGTATGTCGTGTGTTGTGTGTTGTGTGTTGTGTGTAATATGTGTAATGTGTGTTGTGTGTAATGTGTGTTGTGTGCTGTGTGTAGTGTGTCGTGTGCTGTGTGTCATGCGTTGTGTGTTGAGTGTTGTGTGTTGTGTGGTGTGTGGTGTGAATTGTGTGTTGTGTGTTGTGTGCTGTGTGCTGTGTGTTGTGTGTTGTGTATTGTGTGGTGTGTGTGTTGTGTGTTGTGGGTTGCGTGGTGTGTGCTGTATGTTGTGTGTGTTGTGTGTTGTGAGTTGTGTGTTGTGTGTTGTGTGTTGTATGTTGTGTGTTGTGTGTTGTGTGTTGTGTGTTGTGTTGTGTGTGCTGTGTGTTGTGTGTTGTGTGTTGTGGGTATTGTTGTGTGTTGTGTGTTGGTTGTTGTGAGGTGTGGTGTGTGTTGGTTGTTGTTTGGTTTGGGTGGTGTTGTGTGTGCGTGTGTTGTGTGTTGTGTGTTTGTAGATGGTTGTAAGGTGTTGTTGTGTGGTGGTGGGTTGTTTGTGTTTTGTGTACTGTGTGTGGTGTGTTTGTGTGATGTGGGTTTTGTATGTGTTGTGTGTTTTGTTGTGAGTGTGGTGTGTGGTTGGTTGTTGTGATGTGTGTTGTGTGTGTTGTTGTGTGTGGTGTGTTGTGTGTTGTGTGTTGTGTGTTGTGTGTTGTGTGTTGTGTGGTTGTGTGTTGTGTGTTGTGTGTGTGTTGGTTGGCGTTTCGTGTTGTGTTTGGTGTGTGTGTGTGATGTTGTGTGTGTGTTGTCTGTTGTGGTGGGTGTGTGTGGTGTTGTGGTGTTTGTTTTGTGCTTGTGTGTATGTGTGTGTGTGGTTGTGGGCGTTTGTGTGTGATTGTATTGTGTGTGGTTGTGTGTGGTTGTGTGTTGTGTTTTATGTTGTGTTGTGTTTGTGATTGTGGTTGTGGTCTGCGGTTTGTGCATTGTTTGTGATTGTGCTGTGTAACGCTTGTGATTGTGATTGTGTCTGTGTGTGCTTGCGTTTGTGCGCGTGCGTGTGTGCGTGCGCGCGTGTGCGCGCGTGCGTGCGTGCGCGTGCGCGCGCGTGTGTGCGCGCGGATTTTTTCTACCGATGAGCGCGCGCAGCCAAGCTGTACACGCGGCAGCCGCCAGGGCCGCCAGGACCAAGCCCACAGCCCGATCGAACCGTGCAACACTACCGCAGGTCCCCACGTCCACGCCGCAGCAGAGGACACGGCGGAGCCCAACCCTTAGGGCGAGCAAGTCACGCGAAGCGTGGCGTGGGACTCACACCATTCGGAGGCCGTGCCACGCGTAGCGCGCGAAACAAACAGCACGAAGGTCATGCCCGCCTTGGAGGACCCACCACGTGAAGAGCGCGATCTACACATCAACTGCCAAAGCACGACGCGAGGCGCACAGACATCACAACACTAGGAGGCGTGGCCACGCAAAGCGCGCGATGAATAGAGAGAGGGTCGCAGGGGGCCCACATGGGAACCCGCCACTCGCACGCACGCACATGCAATCAACAAGCAACGTTGACCACAGTAAGACACGGTGGGCTTCTGCCAGCGGGCTAGTGCGGCGAACCCTCGGGAGCCCACGCGCGCGACCGCGGGAGGCCCCGAGGGGTTTTCGCAGCTGGCCCACAGGAGCACCCAGGGAGCAACAAGGCACGTTGCACAAGCAATGTTCCCTCAACCTCGTGGCAGAGGCTTCCGCGTACGCGGGCCCCTGCCCATCAGAATCAAATCTTTCCCATGCTGCAGCACTCGCCCTGCATTGTCGCCTTTGACGGGGTGGCCAGAGCAGTCGTTCCCCTCGCGTTCCCCAACGAGATCGCGGCATTTCAGGCGCGCGGTAGCCATGCACAATCCGAATATCGTGGCCCCGAGCACCTGCAGTGGCATCTGCTGGGGCCCTGGAACCCGCGCTGGCAAAGCTCACTGAGGCCGAGCCAAGCTGGTGCTGAACGCTCGTGCGTCCACGATTGTCACTCCGATTGTCCCCATCATCTCCGTCCATGCTGCAGCCCAGCGACGCCGCCATCGCCGCCACGGCCGTAGCCGCCACAAGACCTGCTGCAGCAGCTGGCCGCTTCACCCCTGAAGGCTCCGAACCTGCGGGGCGCGGCACGCTGGCCACTGACCGCGGAATGCACGGCCTGCCGAACAGCTTACGCTTCGAGTTCTCGGTGCTCGCATAGCGCCCACACATAGAACAACGCCAACAATCCGCCTACACCACGAAGCAGTGCTCTGTGATGCTCAGGGTGATCTTGGACGGTTGCTGGATGATCACGTCCGCGTCGATGTCGTCACGGGCAGCTGACGCAGGGGCACGAGCGCAGGAGACCCAGGCCACCACGCCATCCACCAAGAGGCTCACACGCTTGACCTTGGCTTTATCTTCGGCTCCCAAGGCATATGGGCGAGTGACCCGTTTAGCCCACTCGTCAGCCTCAAGATTCCCACGTCGCCCACACCGTGTTAACCGTCCCGCTTCGACGTCACTCAGCGCACCGCGCCCTTTCACTCCGACCACTGTGAGCCAGCCGCCGCCGAGCCCACCGAAGCCATCGGTGGCGCTCAACGCCAGCCGCCATAGAAACGCCAAACTGCGCGAGGCCCCGCACGCGCCACTGCGCCCTCGATCGAGCAGCCCGTCGACCACGCAGCTGGCGTCGGTCCGCATAGCGATGGGCGCCAGGCTGTGCCGAAGAAGAATGAGCCCCGCAAGCACAAGCAACCCAGCTCCTTCAGTCGACTGGCGCATGCCCGTCAGCGGCGGCCCCAGCGCGCAAGGCACACCTGAGGCCTGGGTCGAACCAGAAGGGCCCCGAAGGAATCTGCACCACTGCGCAGCCTGCCATCCCGTAGCCGATGCCGAGGCCGAAGGCCGAGCCGCCAGTGAACAACTCATCGCTGCAGAAAGGCACCCCCCCCCCCCCATGTCCAAGCAAGCATCCACTGGACCGATGATGGCAGCTCATCCTGGGGCGCCTGCCAGAGCACCCTCGGCCTAACTATCAGCAGCCTCTTGACCAACGTGACGATGTGGGGATGATCAGCCTGCCTTTTGAAAACCTCCATGGCTGCTGGCAAGCGTAGCTGCGGCCGGAGATGCGAACGCCCCAGATGTCGATGCACTAGCGTGCCCACCCTGCCTGGGCAGAGCTTGCAATCTTCAGAATGAGCATAACGAAGATTGTTGTGACATCGATGGCGATTCGCCCACTGCCCTCCGACAACGAGGGACCTCGCATATCACCGCCCCTCCACGCCTAGGGTGGGCCATTCACGTCCTTCTGATGCGGTGGGCCTTCCATGATGAATCCACTTCTTCAGCTGCGATACCTTGAAACCGTTGTCCAGATGCGGTAGCTCATCAGCAACCTTCTGACACTGCCACCATGCAACTGCTTTCCTCACCGGCTGCTTGGTATACCACGGCGACCAGTCCAGCGGCTCGTGCACGACACCGTTCGTCGAGTTGACCCACGCGCTGAGACTGGCGACAGCCCAGCCGACCCGAAGCAGGGACACGGAGGCCGCACTGATCGGTCCGCGAACTTGAGACCAGGAGGTAACATTCGCAGACGCCCACTCCAGCACCGATGACAGGATGGACAGTGACAGCCACCCGCCCCGCACAACACGATGAAGCATGCAGACAGGGTCAACCGTGGCACGGTAGATGGGATCGAGCTCGCGAACAGGCGACAGCTTGACAGAGCGCGCGACTTGCGCCGTCTACTCGGGCCTCCGCGGCTCGGAACGCCACGGAGCGAGCAGCCTGCAGGTCGCCATCGCTTAGCACCGTGCAGTTCACGCTGAACGCGAAACCTGCCTCGAGGCCCTGCTTGGCGATGCGTGCCGCAATGGCAGGTCGACCTCCCTGGCCCCTTGCCCAAGATCCGCAGCACTCTGGGAACTCGCCGCCCAGCAGTTCGGAGTCGCGCTCGACGTACCCCACGCCCCAGCACTCCCCCCTGAAAAAAGTCCGCACCAAGGTTCCTGGCGTGCCGCACAGCCCGGGCCCCCGCGACCCCCGCGAGCTCGGCCCTCAGCGTCTGCGCGAGCGCAGGGGTGGACGCCAATACATGGGATTTCTTGGCGGCAATGCGGATCGCGTCGCTGGCGAGCCCGTTCACCAGTACCTGCGCCGCCTTGACCATGTCGCTAGCAACTCTCTGCTCTCCCCTTATGCCGTTGCAGCATCAGGTCGTCCACCGCAGTAGCAGGCGATGCAGCAGGACACAACTGCTGCATGCGATCAGCCGACCCGGTGAGCTGCAGCTTCATTAAGGTAGTGGCGAACGAGTCGCCAGCTAAGACTGCCTGGTGCAGATAGACCAGGTCCGATACTGCACCGTCTAGCACCAGCGCCCGAGCCTCGGTGTGCGTGTATATCTATATATATATATATATGTGTGTGTAGAGAGATACCAAGCTGCATCTTCAACTACCACAGAGGGAAGGCATACGTCTGGGCCAACCTCAGCAAGTTAGCATGCCTCAATTGCTCAAGCGCTTTCCACGGGCCCGGAAGCAACGCAGCAGTGGCCCAGTCAGCACTCGGGCCTTCATCACACTCCACCGCGACCCACTCACTCCAGACCAACTGTTGCCACACTGCTCGGTCACAACTCGTGCCAGCGGACGCCCCCCAGTAGCTGCGATCGCGGGCCGCTCCCCACCTCTCGGCGACGGGCCGCCTCGGCTCCCCGCGCACCCGCACCAGCGCAACAAGGAGGGCGATGGGTCGCACCCCGTCCTCTCGCTTCGGTAGAAACGCAAGTTTGCCGGTAAACTCAGGCCAGCAGCACCGCGCGTCAACCGAGACAATCAAGTCAGCCAAGGCCTCAAGCCCAGCACAGTCGAGCGCGCCAACGCCACGGGGATTGACGCTGTCGAAGATCCGCCCTCCACGCACCTTGAATGTAGCACGCGCTCGTCGCAGCTGGTCTATGGTCGCTCGCCCAGGCCTTCAGGCCTGCGCAACTGCGGCGGCGCTGCCGACGTACTCCGTCCACTCGGCAACCAACGCCCTCACTGCCTCCATCTCGCCGAGCCCCCGGGATCGCCGACGCGTTCACGGCAGGCACCTTCGCGAAAAGCACGCAGCGCAGCACCTCCGACCGCAGCCTGCGCATCGATCCAGTCGCCGAAACGCGCCTTGGATTCCTTCACGTCGGCCGCCACGTCGTCGTCGGCAGTCTGTTCGGTGCTCACCGCGGGGCACTCCGCACCGACTTCGCACACGCATGCTCGCGCACGACATAGGAAGGCGACCACCTGGCACCAATCGCTGCCGGGGGGGCGCCTCTGCCTACGATCAAGAGCTCGATGGCCCCGTGCACGCCGAATGGGATCATCACTGACGCCGTCCGCTGCAGCCAGCGCCACTCCTTTCAGCCATATCGAAGGCTTGCGTACCTTGGGAATGCGCGGCGCCGAGGGCGGGCGCGCTCTCGCCCAGGCCAACTCAGGCCCACGGCCGCGCCCACCAGACTTGCCAAGGTCTTGGCCGGCAAAGTCATACAAATAATGCTCAACAACGCCGCTGAAGTGCTTCCAAGCCGCGTCCACGTTCCCCGCGACACCCTGCAGCGCACGCCAATCCTCAGCGAAGTCGCGCGTGCTGCAACCAGCTGGAAAGGGACTGGGAAGATCCTTGGCGGCACGCATGACCAGAACCCAGTCGTCGATCTGCGCGCCGTCAATGGTGAGCCTGATTGGGCGATGGGGCCCGAACTCCCAATCTTGTAATGCCCCAGCGTGGGCTCCAAGAAACTGCTTGGACACCACGAAGTAGTCAATGACATTCTCGGCCAGTTGCACGCACCTGTGCTCGGCGCAATCGCGCGCCCGCCGCTCAGCTCGAGAAAGGAGGACCGCTCCAACATGGCAGGCTCCATGTTGAAGCCTCCGCAACGATGAACGGTCGGCCGAGGACATGCAGCTTGGCCGCCACCTTGCGCGGGATGGTCTCGTTGGCGCACGACAGCCCTTCACCCGCACGCAGATACACAGTAGCCAGCACAACACCACCTGAGCAGAACCCTGAGTGGTGCACGAAGGTAGCGCGCCCGACGGCAATGACCGAGCTGCCGATCCCCTCGAACTCCCCCATGCCGTGCACGCGCGGCGATAGCAGAAGCAGACCTCCATGCCCTTGAAGCCCTGGCCCTGCTCCTTCGGCAGGGGCTGCGTGCGCATACCAACCAAGCCGTGCCAACCTCGCTGCCACCTCACTGCTGCGCTCCACAGAAAGGTGTGTCTCTTGTACAGCGACAAAAAATCTGCCCGACGAATCTCCGCTCGATCAAGGAAGGCCTCGAAGGTAGAATATGCGTTGGCGTTCACCGCGAGGCCCACCCAGGAACGCCGCTGACGAGTGGCACTAAAGACCCGTCTTCCTCTTCTTGGCTTCAGCACGCAGGATCTCCAGTGCATCCAAGAGCCGCTTGCGCTCCTCAGGGCTGGCTGCCCCTGCCAGGAGACCTCCAGGATCGTCGCCCTGGAGATGCTCACTGAAATCACCACTGTCGTCACCCATGGTTCCGTCGGTCACATCAGCGCCTGCAACGGCCGCTCCTGCACCATCGGCGGCCTGCACCCCTCCGCTGGGAGTGGCGGGGGCTGGCTCGGGCGCTGCTGCCGTCTGCTGCTGCTTGGCGAGCTCCGTGATAACCTTGGTGACTACGCGGAGACAGACTCCACAGTGGTCCCCTGGCCAGCACCTGCTTGCAGCTGCTTGAGCTGCTCCAAGAGGGGCCCGAGGTCCAGTTTGGGCGGCGCGGTGGAGGCTCCAAGGGCCCTGGCAGCCTCCTCCTTGGCCGCAGCCAACTCCTTCTCCAGAACAAGGGACGGCCTCCTGCTGATCTTGCAGGGCGACTATGGCCTTGGCGGCCGCGTCCTTCGCCTTCTGCAGCCGCTGCTGGCCAGAGAGCAAAGCCTTCGCAGCCTTCTCCACATTGTTAGACTTCGTGACCCCTGGTGCGCAACCCGGTGCAGCCGCCGTCCTCGCAGACTGTACACGATCATGGCTGGACTGAGACAGAGTAGACTGAACCAGGTCCCAAACATCTTGGCTGAGCTCCACATAAGATTTGAGGCCGGCCTCATCCAAAGTAGCAGCTGCAGCACCACGGCGACGAGGAGGTAGCTCTGACTTAGGATGCGGTGCACCTTGAGCCCACTTTCCTCCAGCCGTATGCCACGGACGGGGCGCGGGTCCTGGGCCTGGCCGTGCACCACAACACCCCGACTGTGCACACTTGGGCTTGCCGATCGGATTGAACCTCGGGCAGCGTGGACATTTCCAATGCGTCCCGACATTCGCCATCACTATGCCCCTCGGGCGAGAGTGGCACCTGCAATACGAGCCACTTCAGCTCGGTACAGAAATTAGCCGCTCTGAATGTTTGCTGCACCAAGCCGACCTGGGCCAGAACGGCTTGAGCCAAAATGGCTACGGATGTGCGTGTGTGCGTGTGTGCGTGTGTGCGTGTGTGGTGTGTGCGTGTGTGTGTGTGTGTGCGTGCGTGCGTGCGTGCGTATGTGCATGCGTGCGTGCGTGCGTGTGTATGTGTGTATGTGTGGTTGTGTGTTTGTGTGTGTGTTTGTGTGTGTGTTTGTGTGCTTGTGTGTGTGCTTGTGTTTGTGTTTGTGTTTGTGTTTATATATGTATGTATGTATGTATGTATGTATGTATGCATGCATGCATGCATGCATGCATGCATGCATGTATGTATGTATGTATGTATGTATGGAGGTAGGTAGGTAGGTAGGTAAGTAGGTAGGTAGGTAGGTAGGTAGGTAGGTAGGTGTATGTATGTTTGAATGTATGTACGCATGCATATATGTATGTGTGTATGTATGCATGTATGTATGCATGTATGTGTGTATGTATGTGTGTATATGTATGTGTCTATGTATGTATGGATTGTGTATGTATGCATGTATGGATGCATGTATGTATGTATGTGTGTATGTTTGCATGGATGTATGTATGTATGTATGTATGTATGTATGTATGTATGTGTATGTATGTATGTATGTATGTGTATGTGTGTATGTATGTATGTGTGTATGTATGTATGTGTGTGCGGATGTATGTATGTATGTATGTGTGTATGTATGTGTGTATGTGTGTATGTGTGTATGTATGTATGGGTGTATGTATGTATGTATGGATGTGTGTACGTATGTATGTGTGCAGGGATGGATGTAAGTATGTATGTATGTGTATGTATGTGTGGTGGTGTGTATGTATGTATGCATGTGTGTATGTATGTGTGTATGAATGTATGTATGCATGTATGTATGTATGTATGTATGTGTGTATGTGTGTATGTGTGTATGTGTGTATGTGTGTATGTGTGTATGTGTAAATGCATGTATGCATGAATGCATGCATGTATGTATATATGCATGCATGCATGCATGCATGCATGCATGCATTAGTATATCTGCATGCAGCATGCATGCATGCATGCATGCATGTAATGTAGGTATGTAAGTGTTTGTCTGTATGTATGAATGTGTGTATGATGTATGTGTGTATTGTGTAAATGTATGTATGTATGTATGCATGTATGTATGTATGTATGTATGTAATGCATGTATGTAATGCATGTATGTATGTATGTATGTATGAAATGTATGTATGTATGTATGTATGTATGTATGTATGTATGTATGTATGTATGTATGTATGTGTGCGTGAGTGCGTGCGTGCGTGCGTGTGTGTGTGTGTGTGTCTGTTCGCGTGTATGTGTGTGTGCATCGGGCTAGGAAGCATGTGTGTATCTGCCACCATGTCCTTGGGCACGGAGAGGACGTGCCCTCAGGTCCTTTGCCTAATCCTCTGAGTCTCACTCTTTCCTGAGAACTCTTTACATGACATCGACCCCTCGCCCTCAATTCTCCCCAGGCTTGCCGCGTCTTGTCGCGTCTTGTCGCGTGCCTTGCTCGGAGCCGAGAGGGCCCCAAGACGGGCCAAGAGGGCC